CAAGTTTTAGTGGGTAAATACTTTTTTTTAACTGTATTTGCACACTCTTTACTGATACAGTAAGTCCCTGATTTATAGACAAGTTCCATTCCAGAAGAACATTCATAAGTTAGATTCCTTCCTAAATCCAACAAAGTGACACAAATATACAATGTATATTGCTTTGCACTTCCCAGTGGAACCCTCCATGTCACCACTGTTTTTCTTACTTTTCTTGCTTCTAGACATCCTGGGCTCTGACTAAGCAGTGTACTACTGTATGCTACTACACCATACAGTAAGCAGACAGCAGCACAACTGTGACAATATCTGGCAGACAAAAGAGCTACTTCCACACCTTCTTCACATCTCTGAACATTCATGATGCACTGCTCATTAATACTTGTAAAAGTTTGCAACTCAAGTGTTCATAAATTAGGGACTCACCGTATTCCATCAAGTGCCATAGCAAAGCCCAAGGTCATGGTGGGAATGTCACAAGGGTATAAATAAAGGTGTGTCATCGGGAACAACTGCTGGAACAATATGCTGCAGCATATATTGTGCACATTTCTCCCTTTACAATGTGGACCAAAAACAGGATTACAAATGTGTGGTCTTTATGAAAATCAGGTATGTAAAAACAAGAGGCCTTCTAATGGAAAATACTACTTTGGAGTCTTGTGTGGTATGTCTGTATTCAAAGGAAAGTAGTATTGATACAGGGGAAATGAAACTCCCGACTTGAAAGGGACCTTGGATGAGTCCGTGTTCTCTAAATCCAAAGAATGAATTTTAGGAACAAACGGAGGTTAAGAGTAAAATATACTTATTGGGGGAAAGAAAGCTCCTGTCTGATTTAAGGACAGAAGGGAGGTCCTGAGCAGTTTGTCTCCTGGGAAGCTGTCTCTTCCAAGGATTTTTGTAGAGTAATACCCTGACTGCCTATAATATTTCTATCTAATTTAGCTGCCTACAACAGTATCATTCAAGTCTTTCTCTAACATAAATCTGTGGATTTTCTCAAGGATTTTCTATTCTCCTGAACTTTTTTCTCTTGCCTTTCTTTCAACTACATGATCACCACATGATAAGAATTGTTTAGCTCTATTATCTTATAGTTTCACCATTATATATGGGTCCATTATTAACTAAAATGGCATGTGTCATATGACTGCACAGGACACATAATGTAATGGGTTACTTGGATTTTGAACTCATTGAGGTCATTTTCTGCAAATTAGTAACAGGGTACTTAAGACCACTCACTAGTTTAAAAATTACAGCCTTAAGCCCCCACGTCCGGGGAATTCCTCCTAACACTGGTGAGTTCTTTATTAACTGCCCTTAGCAACATAGTCTTTGTGTAGATTAAAGGTTAATAACCTCAGAATGTGTTAAATTGTGCTCACCTAAGTCAGAGTGATTCATCTTGATGTATATGTGCCTAAGACAATAAGCTCCTATGTAATAGGTGATAATTAAGTTTAGGCCTGACTGTCGATCCTTGTAGGAATGTAGCTAATGATTTATCTGGATATTGTACTCAATCTATTGTGAAGTTAACCTGGGAATTGTGCCTGTATGTGTTGGTAGTTTATAAATGATTAATTTTAAAATATGTATACGTGCTAAGTAGAGAGTAGTTTCTTTTTAAAAGCCCTGTTTTCTGCCACTTGGCACACTTCTCTGTCTTCTCTCCTGCGTGAGTAGAAGTCAGGAAGGCCCCGAGCTGTGTTAAAAGCTCATTTTCAATTCTCAGTTTGGACTCTGGTCTGTCTTGTTTGAGAACCCATAACAATAAGCATTCAAATTTCTCAGTATGTTCATGTATTATTTCTGGATACTCAATTTCAGTTAGAGTGGCCTTTTCTAACCCAAAATAATAAATCAAGTAGTTCATGTACTATAGTTCTCAAATATTTATGCATTCGTTGTGACCTTGGATTTACCATTAACTTTATTCGGCCTACTAGTTGTTCACCTTTATTGTTAAATTTCATCGGTCCATCACATGGATCTGTAGTGTCACAGATAAACTAATGATGTCTAACTTATGCTATTATTCTAGGTTTCTCAAAATATTATTTGCAGTGAATAACAGTGACTAAAGCCCTAACTTCCGAGTGGCTTACACATTTGAGGTGTGCACTCAGCTCCTTCCTGGCCTCAGACTCATGAAATGGCCCTTCTGGAACACTGGGCTCTTGGCAAAAGAGGGCAATGAACCAGGTGATAGCTCTTAAATCTACTTACAAATGATCCAATTTACTTTCAGTGCCAAAATAAGACCCCTGGCTTTGCCAGAGTTCTTCAAGCTTAGAAGTAGAGATATTCATCCCTCTCACAGAAACAGTGCTGAAAATGAGTGGGCAGTGGTCACCACGTACTGGAAGTCACTTTTTTCCATGTTTCTCAACTTTACATCACATCCAGGAGACAACCCTAAGTTCCCATTTATCCAGTTTATTCTCAGAGCCAGGATATCTGAATGATTCCATGTGTCCGTATCATGTCTAGAGGTATCTTCTCTTGATACAAAGACTGGTGACCTAAAAAAACAAGCTATCTGCCTGTTGTGTACCTAGTACACAAGGGTTTCATGTGTACACAGTGACCACAATAAACAACACTTTTTGAAAGATAAAAACGAGAAATGGTGAGGACTCCTGGAGGCATCATCTCACAACAATCTTGAAATGCTGGCACATGAGTGGCCTTTGCCCTGAGAATGTAGGCCTTCCTTAGAGAGGCCTGGATTGTGAACCTGGCCCTTCCTCTCCAATGAGTCTGCCTCTCTCTCTGCAACTTCCTTCCTTTTCTTTTGTCCACATTGGTCTTATTTGATAGAAGCCTTTCAGAGTAAGTTCTGATCAAGGGCTCTGCTCTTTAGGCATCTTTCTTCTCTACAGTCATTAAACAGCTCCAAGTCCAAGTGGGGCGGGAGATAGCTCAGTGGTCATGGTAAGCGCAAGGACCTGGGTTCAATACCAGGTACTGCAGTGCCAGCCCCTCACGAGGACCACTATGAAACCAAGCTGAGTAGTGACACTCTATATCAAATAAATAAACAGCTCCAAGTCTTAATATGTCAACACTGTTATTCAATTTGGTGATTTATTTAATGTATTTTAGTACAGGGTCTCACTACACAGATCAGACTCGGAGTGATCCTGTTTTCAGTCTCCCAAGCTCTGGTACTACAGGCACATGCCACCATACCCAGTCTCAGTCACCTCTCAGCAGAGAGTGAGGCCAGCACATCATGTGATATCAGGGATCGAACCCAGGTCCCTGCATTTGCCTGAGCAGGCACTTTAGTCCGCTGAGCTAATTTTAGTGGTTTTAAATGACAGTAAGATTCTCCCAAGAACATGGTTAGATTACTATAGAGTCCTTTTGAAATGTGTCTTTTGTTTCTAGGTGGTTGTGATTACCTGAGGGAGGACACACACTCTGCATAACTTGCAGAAGAAAATGGGAAGCAGCCTGGGGCTGACGTGCTCATCCTCAGTGGACATATATCCTCAATGTTATCGCTGTCAGATCATTTTCCTTCATAAACTGCAGAGCCCTAGGCATCAGGCTCTGGAATTTGGATAGAGCTGACCACTTAATATGGCTCTGTATTTAACAAACTTATACAATCATTTAATCATTCTGCAATTTTTCTCTGGACTCCTAGATTTCTAAAGCAGGTATTAATATTCTTTTTTTTTTTTTACTGAAATAATTGTCAAACCATTTCTTATTTGTGTGTGTGTGTGTGTGTGTGTGTGTGTGGCCAGCTCAGCCCACCAGGGGGCGGGGCTGGCTGGCACGTGGTGCTGGGGGATTGAACCGCAGTCCCTGTGCTTACTCTAAATAGGTGCTTTAGACCACTGAGCCATCTCACCAGCCCCAAATTAATATTCTTCTATCCATTATACTGTCTAGAATGCCAAATATTATGAATATAATTTGAATATGAGATTTAAAAATTACTCCCAAATCAAAATCCTATAAACATTTTACTAATAAAGTTATTTTTTCCCATAAGTGAAATTTTGCCAAAGGCATTTTGTTCAATTTGACTTTTTGTGACACATCAATGAATGCCACACCTTTCTCATGAGACTGAATCAATATTTTAATGTGAATTTACTGCCATTTATTTTCTAAATTTCACTTAATGTGAATCATTTTGATGGGGCACTGCCAGTTCATTTATACCACAGGTATAAGAAACCTCATCTCCTATAAAGCTGAATAAAATTTTTTGTTGCTCAAGGCCCTGAAGAACTCCCCATCTTGCCATGTCCCTGCATTATTCTACATAAATACTACGCTGTAGTCTGAGAGTCTTTCCTGATCTGTGGTGTCTTTGGCCTACCTAGTACATTAAGAGAAGGAATCTCTCTGTCATTTGCTTCTTCTATGTGAACCCAGGAGAGGCAGACTGTGGCTCCCCTCACTGGCCCAGTTGGGTGGTTATATCTCAGTGGATGTGAAACATTCCTCAGACATACACTCTTTAAGTCTTAGTGGATTGACTCCTTACACACAGAGCATTTGGAACACTGTTTTCCTCACTACATGTGTTTTTTTTTTTTTTTTTTTATGCACAGACTATACAGTCTTGAGATACATTTCTTCTCAGGTGCCAAGGGGGACAACAGCATGGAATTGAATGGCTTTGGACCATTTATCTTCCTTTATTACTTACAAGAGTGTAAGCAATTCAGGCCTATGTAAAGGAATTAAATCATCACATGTGGGTTTCACACCAACCCCTGTCCCCATTCAAGCCCACTTTTGACAAAGTCCACACCTGCATCATTCAGCCTTGGGAAAAAAGATTTTGTGTGATCAGACTAGAAACAAGGGAGTTTGGAAAAGCATTTACTGAGTACCTGCAGGGTGGACTCTGAGCAGGCTAAAAGGTAGTCAGGACATGGCTTCACCAGTTTCAGGGTCCTAGGTTCCTGAGCTTGACCACCTAACCCTCACCCAGCACAGACTCAAAACTGAGATGGACTATATCAAAATAATGTCTTTAATTCCTGAAGCATCATGAGATGAGGTTGGAGTAATGTGTGTCCTCTTGGCCTAGGATGGCATCAGGCCTTCTTTGATGGGCAGCTCTAGATCATTCTCCTTAAAGACAGGTAGGACCTTGGAACTGGCCTGTGGAAAGTTGGGGTCCACAGTGGCAGTCTCTACCATCCACATGCCCCTGCCATTCTTCCTTACCACCCCTCCCCATCACCCTGGGACCATCCTTTGTGTTGGCTATGCCCCTGACAGGACCCTCTTCACCCCTTCAGGAGTTGTCTCAGTCCCCTTCCACTGGATTCAGTAACTCACCGCACCTTGTGGACCAGCCCCTTCCTCTTGTGTGTTCTGGGCTTGCACCCCATACTTTTCCAGTTCATCTTTCAGCCTGATCCAGAAGGGGTAGGTAGGAGGTAGGATGGGGAAAGGAAGAAAGAAGGGGTACAGAAGGGAAAGGGTGAGAAGATACAGAGCTCAAGTGGCAAGGAGAGACCCCCCCCAACACACTTTCTGAGGAGAAGTGGGGGCAAGGGCTGCAGGTCCACCTCTGCCGCTTCTCCTGCAGCTGCTGGCACCTCTGCTTCAGTTGCTGATGGTGCTGGACCGCAGCCTCCAAGAGCTCCTCAGCTTTCCTGTTCTCCTCCTTGAACAGCTGCCTGAGGTAGGGGGAAGGGAAGTCAGCATTGGCCCCTCCCTCCTCCTACTTCCCTCTCTTCCATATCTTACACTGCTGCTGCTGCCTCTGGGCTACGGAGGAAGAGTCCCTCGGTGAGGGTGGAGGGCCCTTCTGACACACACAGGGAGCTGAGCTGATGGTTCACCTCCTCCAGCTTCCCCTCAACCAGCTTCTCTGAAGTAGGAAAGACAGTGAGGAAGAGAAGACAGACAAGGGCAGGTCATGGCTACCCCCTCCCCTGGCCTCACCTTCCTTAAGTAGTTGTTCCTTGTTGCTGTCCAAGGCACAAATCTCCCTCGTCAGCTGCTCTGGCCTCTGAAGGGGGTAGAAAAAGATGAGTCACACCTCCTGTCTTCCTGAGGGTTCAGAAAAACCTGACTGGAGATGGATCCTGCCAATTACTCCCTCACCACATCTCACATCCTTACTGCCATGCTAGCCACTCCCTCCCTCTGGACCTCTCTCACCTGGAAATAGGTCCTGGGAAAAGTATTACTAAGAGAGAACCTAAAAACCTCTGACTCTGAGCTGCATTTCTAGAGATTTGGTTACCAGCAGAGCACTGCAGCTCTTGCCTCCTCTCCTTGCCTCTGTAGACTCATCACTGACCCTTTCCTTCCTGACATTCATCTCTGCTTCCTGATCTTGTGTCTGGGATCTCCTGAAGGCAAACAATGGCTGCATGTTCCGAATCATCTCCCCTGTATCGGTGATAGTCCCAAACACATCCATGGATGATTCCACCTTGCTTCATCACGATTCCTCCTGACCACTGAATCGACACAGGAGGGCAGCACGGATGAGTGGACAGGAACAATAATGAGGACACTGGGGGGCTCAAGAGTGGTGACAAGGGCCTGGATTTCAGAAATGGTGACAGTGACAGTAGGAATACCAAGGCTTTCACAGAACCAGATTGGAAGCATGGCTCTGAGTGACTCACATGAAACTCCCAAAGATCCTTGTGCTGCTCTGTCAGAGCCTCCAGCTGTTCCTCAAAATTCACCCTAGAAGCCAACCACACAGGCATGAGGGCCATAAGCTGAGACCACAGAGCCAGACCCAGGCCAGAGATCTCCATCCAAAGCCCTAAGGGGCTTTGCCATGCCCTCTGCTCCATGAGGATCACCTTTGCCATACTGGCCTTCCAGGGCTCTGCTCAGATAGCCACTCTAACCTATTTCTGGTATCAGCCCACCTATATGCCCCTTTGACCCCCCCCAAGGCCTTATGCACTGTAATTTACCTCAGTTGTCTCTGTTTGCTCTTCTCTTCCTCTATCTGTAAGTTCAGCGAAGAAATCCTCTCCTTGCACTCCTGTAACAAAGTCTGCTTCCTGGAAAGAGACGCAGTCTTCAGCCATGTTCTCTGACTGACTCCCCAGAAGGGGGACTGGAGGTCTTCTTTCTCTCCTTCTTTATTCAGGTCCATTTCTACAATGGGTGGGGCCGTTATGAAGTTCAGGTTTAGGGAAACTAATGTTGGCATGTTCCCTCACCTCTGCGCCTCACTCTCCTTCTCCTGACAATGCAGCTGAAGTATCCTCAGAGTCTCTGCAGGGAGAACAGGGCCATGTGAGAGCCTGCCAAGACATCAGTTTGCACACAGGAAACAGAGCCATTAGATCTGCAGATACCTGACTGGGCTTTGACATTTCTGGACCTAGAGGAAGCCACAGAAAATATGCAAAATTGGGAGATTTCTAAAGTTTCAGCAACTATAAGGAGCATGGGCTTCTGTGGCATAAAAAGCCTAGAAATAGAAGAGCTGGTAATACCTTGCTTTTTGTTCAAGATCTCCTTCAGATGTACTTTCTCTTCATGCACTAGGAAACATGAAAAACATTCAGGCATTAGGCACCACCCATGACATCAACACAGTCACTTGGGAGGCCAAATACAACTCCGTTCACAACTCAAATGTGGACTGCTCAGTGTAGGTCCTTCTGGTACCCACAATCTCCGTAAGAACAAAAGGCCCTGGCACTAACAAGTGGTATCCATGAGGACCCTGTGCAATGCTTGTGCTAGAAAGAAACACATTAAAGAGGGAAGGACGTGAGCAAGCAAGGGAGCAAGTGGTTGGTGTCTTTAGGAAGGATTGCTAGAGAAGGGGATTTGGGGGAAAAAAATAAAATAAAACCGGGAGCGTCCTAAAATAGGTCCTGGGGCAGGAGCACGCTTGGAAGGAATTTTCAGAACACTTCCACCAAGAGATGAAGAGAATAGGACATGAGGCTGAAGAAAGGACAAGGTTCTTGACTCTGGGGAAGATAGCTGAGTATCTGAACTACTTACTTTTGAGAAGCTAGAAACGTAATGAGGCTCTCGGGTTATCCTTAGCTTACTTACATGAGTCCAGTTCCTTTCGCAGAGTATCCCAGACATTCTGGGCTTCTCCCAGCTCCTCAAAGGCTTTCTTTTTTGCTTTACCAAAAAGCAGAAAGATAAACATTGGGTGAACTGAGCCATTTGTACTAGGTTCAGATTCCCTTGCAAGTGGTGACATGTCACATTTGTCTTCAAGCAAATCTACAAAGGTCCATATTTTACAGAGCAAGAAATAAAACTTTCTGAATCTAGGCCCTTCTCACTGAGCTCAAGTAGTAGCAGAGCTAGATTTGATAGTATGACTATAGTACCTAGGTGCAGAGAGTCTATGTATTTCCATTTAATGCTCTACTGCTACTATCCTAAGATATCTAGAGATTTTTCACAAGGGTTCCTGTATTTTCACTGCAAATTGGGCCTGGCAAACCATGTAACTATACTTTAAAGGGAGCCAGTGTCCCTGAGCTCACCTCGCTGAACATCATTAATCCGGTTAATCAGGAACTCAATCCGGGGCTCAAGACTTCCTGCTGCAGAGAGAAAAAGTAGCTAAACTGATGACTGAGCAGGCAGAAGTGGTATATGCCTATCCATACCTCTGCTGTTTTTACTCCATACAAATCTACTGTGCATCTCCTGTGTATAGGGTTGTCGTGGGTTGCCACAGAGAAACAAGGAACAGAATAGATATCTGGGTCGGGTTATGGTAACTGGAGTAAAGAGAAATGATGTGGGGCACAAAGGGTTGAAGACTGAAGGTGCAAGAAGTACTTCTCAGATATGGGAAAGTGTCTTGTAGACTACATCAAGTGAGGAAGGCCAGCCCTACAGATCCCTGGCAGGAGTTGAGGGTGGGGAGTAGTCACTGCAAAAGCCTGCCCTGAGAAGGAAACAGGACTAGAAAAAGCCTTGTGAGCAAGTAATGGGTAGCAAGAAGTGAGTGGAAGAAAAGGGTACGTAGGTAAAAACCTCTAAATCTAAAAGGGGCATCAAAATAAGTGATCATCAAAGGGCTTGGGACAGGATTTTAGGAAAATATTTTACCTTCTATACTCATACTCCTATAATTTTTGAATCATGGGGGCTTGATTTTAGTTCAAAACTTTCAATATTAAGAAAAAGTAAAACTGAACAGAATAATCTCTGAAGACTGTGAATTGTGGGACCTGGAGTTGAACCCACATATGCCTGACCTCACACCTCAGGTTAAACCTTTCATACACACAAGAGACACAGACCTTTCTGCAGTTTTTTCACTATTTCCATCAAGTCTTCAATTTTCTGC